ACATTCAGTCTATAGGACCCCATAAGGCATATTACAGGTTCTGGGGATTAGGAAAGGACATGCACATACTTTTTGACAGCCACTATTCAGCCCCCTACCATTGCTTTTACACAATTTTAAAAGTATAGTATTAGAAATCAAGGGAGTTGTTTGGTATGGAATGTCAGTTTCCAATTTTTCATAAATAATTATGTGCTAGTTCATATTATTTTCCCTAATTTGTCTATTATGAAAGCATCTTTAGTTAGTTTGACCCTTATTACAATTAGCATTTTCAGAGTCCTTTTAACTACAGTAATAATTTACATCTAAAAATAGGTTTTGCGTTACTGACATTTCGTAGGCCATGCACTATTGATATCTCTCTTGTCGAGTTGTCAAAGTTAATCAGTCAATAGGATTTAAAAAATGGTCCACTTTGGAAAATAAAATAACCTCCCAGGATTAGATTCCAATTTTAATTCACTTACATATTGGAAAAGAAATTTGGTTCAGTTGAATTGTTCTTATAAAGTTAGATGAGTTGTCACCTAAACTTAAACATTGTACATTAATTTAACATTACTATATTCTTTTGTATAAGAAAGAGGAGGTAGAGAGCAGCAAAAAGACTAATTCATTATTCTTTAAGGACATATTAATTCCATTAGGTGAAAACATAGGCCACTTTATAAGTTGGATGTAAAAAACAACTTATAGTTTATCTATAGGCCATCTAGAAGAATTTATAGTGAAGCCAATAGTTTGCTAACAACTATTGGTTTAATTTGGGACTTAGTTTGCTGAGTACATTATTTCTGGATTGTATTTTGAAACATAAACTTCTGGATGGCCTAGACTATTAATAAGGGTTCATAAATTTTTTGCATACTGATTTATATTTGGGGAGTTGAAGAAATAATTATTCACAAAATACATAAACATTCTGATATTCTATACAACTAAATGAGAAAAGGCCTTGAATATGACATTTAGAGTCAAAACATTGACCATCACTAATAGTCTCATTACTTACTTCTTTATCCTACATTAACTTCTCCACAAAATTATCAACCCCTATTGATTTCTATAAGATAAGGCAAAGTTCTTGGGCTTTAGCACATCCCACCACTTAATTTTCAAAAAACTCTTGAAATAGCTAAATGTTTTTAGTAGCTATCAAGTCGCCCTTTTGTTAACAACAATGGTATTTTGTAATCTATGTACTCTAAAACATTCTAAAAAGACAGATACAAATAAGTTGGAACAATGATGAATTTCTACAGGCTTCGAAGGATAGTTGGGGTTTAGAATTCCAAAGAAGAAGTACTTAAATTTCAATGGATGAGACAAGCAACGTTATTTGCAAGAATAGAAATTTAGAAATTTACCATAGAAATAAAACTAAAGGTGTCTATTTGTAAGCAGTAAAAACAGCCTCCGAGTTGGTGTGTTAAAGTGGAATCAGTAACAATGGGCCCAACAAAAAGATACTAGTCATGGTACCAATTTGGTCACTTACCGGGCATTACACTTTGGAAAAATCTCTTCGCACTTCCGATTCTTTATGCCCTCATCTAGAAATGTGTTTAAAAAATACCACTTCCTCTTAGTTCATGGGATTATGATAAATAATTGAATCTTTAGAAAAAAATTGAAAGCTCAAGCTTTTTCTTTAATGTATTCTAAGTAAAACGCATCATATAGCATGTGGCATATATATATGAATTGCTAATAAATCAAATTTGCTGATACCACAGCCCATCTTCTAGCTATAGTAATTAATACTGTTTTTGTAAAGAAGAATACACTCTATGCTACCTAGACTTCAGGAAGCAGTTTCCAAAATAGTCGCTTTCCCAAATGAGAGGAAAGCCTTCCCACTTGCTTTAAGGATTGTTGGTCTTCTACCGTTTTTTTTATTTTCCCTTTTTTTTTTTTTTTTTTTTTTTTTTGGTTAGACCCCCAGATTCTGAAACGCTACCTTTCATTTTTAAAACCAAAGATCAATATATGTACTATATAACTATATCTACATAAAAGTGTATAAAAATAGTCTATGTTAATCGATGTAGAGTAAGGGATGTAAAATAAATTTTATGGCTATTGCTATCAAACGGAGGATTACTGGCCAATTTGTTGAAAAAAGCGCTGGATATAGGTTGCTCTTTCTGGATGAAAATAGACCAGTTAGGTTAAGGCACTGTGAACATTTTGTAGAAATGTTGGTGAGCACTTAAAATGTGAACTTGTCAAGATCTCTGTCATTATGGTCCCTATGCAGCCTTCCTAAACCACAATGATTATTAAGCATAGACTGGAGGATCAAAGTCCAATCTTCAGAAATGCCTCAGGTTTACCTTTGAGGAATTTGCTAGTTTTTAAACCACAGTCACAATTTACTGGGGCAAATTGTAGCTAGTGGCTACAGTGAGACTTGTGGAACTCAGTTATACATGTAACCCTTGTTTTTCTATTTCTTTAGATAATCAAGAGTCTGTTCTACCTCTCTTCCTTTGTATTGCCTTCAATTATCATACTTCAAGGAATAGTGACTGAGCTTAAGAATTCCACGTATAATCCAAAGAAGTCTTTTTAAGTAGGCACCTGTCAACAGGTAAAATTTTACTTTTAACTCTGCTTTCCTTGATTATGCCCACAAATAAAAGTTGTATAAAATATTATAGAATTGTGCACAGGAAAATAACATGAGGCCAATGAGCGTATATGAATTGGATCTTGACCATTAATCAGCTCAAGAGTTGTTAATAATGAACAGGTGACAATCGTGGAAGTAGAATTTTCTAAAGGTTAATTGGTTCTGGGTTCACTTTGCAATGATTTAGTTAAGAGATAATAAGACATCAGTTTATATGGAAGAAACAGAACAGATAGGTGATATGGAAATGAGAGGTATATGAACAGTGATTTGCAATCTGGAGTATGCAGTTATAATTAAAATCAGGTAAGTATGCTGGAAACAGAGAAGAGTAGATTACATGCTGAGATAAACTGATGAATTATGAAAAAAATAACAATACAAAAAAAGAGAATTAGAAAAAATAGCTCAATGATATAATGCCTTTTTTTTAAAGGCCCCTTCATTTATCGATGAGCATAGATTTTTTCTGTAAAATGGAAATCTCATCATCAATGTAACTCATTAGTAAATTTCAGTATTACTATTTATAACATAATTAGAATATTGGTAAATCTTAATATTCGTATTGATATATCTTTAAATATAAATTTAAGATTATTTAGAAATGTTATTTAAGATTTTTGAAATGACTGAAAAATCATCCAGTTGTATTTTTAAGTGTGTACTATAGCAGATGTGATAAAAGCTACAATAGTTTAAACTCATAAATTAATAATAAAAGATTTTGTTTTCCTTGATAAAGCAAGAAAATTGTAGAGAGTGGACTTTAAATCTCAAAAGTGTTTTTACACTCTGATAATAAAGCAAAAAGTAGTTTACCATATAAATGTCTTTTGTTATTTCCTCTGTATTCTTCTAGATTTTTTTTAAAATATATTTTCGAGCAATAAGAAACTTTATACTTTATAATAACAAAATTCAATAATATATAAATTCAGATTCTTTTTTTTAATACCTACAGCAAATTCAGATTCTTTAAACAACTTTTGAAGACTGATTGCTGTTTTCAGCTAGTTTAACCAACATATACCACCTGTCTCTTTTTTTCTTTCTTTCTTAAGTATTATACTTTTTAAAAGATATTATTTTCAGTGCTCACATACCATAAACCTACCAGGCTGGGTTATCTGATGACCAAGGAGAAGCCTAATTTCAAATTAAATATATAGATAATTCTTGTTGTTTCTAAAAAAGCAAAAATTATTATAAAGCCAACTGTAAATATATTGAAGACATACAAGTCTTTTCATGTCATCTACATGTATCAGTTAATAGATCAGGACAAACAAATGGTGATTAGGTACTGGAAATCCTGGTTAGAGCATTTAGGCAAGAAAAAGAAATCAAAGGCATTCAAATTGGAGTAGAAGAAGTAAAATGGTCTATATTTGCAGATGACATGACCTTATATTATAGAAACCCTAAGGACTTCACCAAAAAACCGTTACAATTAATCAAGGAATTACATAAAGTTGCAGGATACAAAAAAAAGTTGATGTTAGGGAATAAAGATGTTTTTAATTTAATATCAATTGTATTAAATTATGAAAAATCATTCTTCCACAGGTAGTGGGTACTCTGTACCATAAAGCTAGCAGTTAAGTTTTCCTAGGAATATCTAAAAAGAATGTACCTTTCTTTTAATAAACAATAACATACCATCCATTCAATTGAGAGAATTTCATTGTTATAAAAATACATGAAAGGTATTATTTATAAATTGATAGAGGTAGTACCACTTTTTGGAAGTGCATTAAAGTTAACTTAATTTGTTAGAACTATACAATTTCTAACCCTATAAGTTTAGAAAGTAGATGTGTGCTGAAATATTTTTATGTGTTCTCGATTAAAAGTGAAATTCTAAAATATGCCTATTATTTAATTCTTTATAATTCATCAGATTTAATAAATGGTCCTTTTCAACCTCTGTATATAGAAGTCACAAATATTTTAGATTAAAAAAGTATTGTTTTAAGTGATGCTAGCCCCATTTTTTGTATACTTAGAAATCAGATTGTGATAGCTTTAATTTTTTGCTAGTACTTCAGTACTGAGCTGAATTCTTAACTTCTTCTTGAGTAATTTTTGTTTCCATAAAAAAAATTAAATGCTTTCAAGTTTTAGTCCATAACAGTCAAAGTTACATACCCCACTCCATTTTTGGGGGTAAATTTTATGATATTTTTTTGAGTATAGAGTATTAAAATAATATTCATGAAAAATTATATAGTTGTAGTTACAACCGAAAAATACTATTTTGGTGACTGTCAAGAGTGATACATGAAAATAAAAATATGTTTTAAACCATTGTTTCATTATTTTAATATAGGTTACTTGAATTTCAAAAAGAAGAGCAGAAATGCCAGTAGTCATAGATACCCCACAGTCTGCACCTCCTGATGGAGGATGGGGCTGGGTAGTGGACTTAGCATCTTTTATCTCCATTGGATTTTCATACGCATTCCCCAAAGCCATCACGGTGTTCTTCAAAGAAATTCAGCAAATATTCAACACTTCCTACAGTGAAATTGCATGGATTTCATCGATTATGTTGGCTGTTATGTACGCAGGAGGTAAGGTTCTTTGGAATCCATAAAATTCTGTGTTAAGACAATTTCTCCATGCCACAATGTTTTACATATACTTTCTTGGTATATTAAAGCCTTGTTTTTCATATTAGTGTCATTTAAAATCAACTAAAAGTATAATTAGAATCAAATTTTTAATAATTTTAGTAATTCAACTGCCTTGAACTATTTACATAATTCTGATCTTATTGGTATATTTATATGGATGAGGATTTCTTTGCACAAAGTAAGATTTACTAAATTATGCGACTTCCAAAAGAGGTACTTTTCCACTTAATTTGGAAGAAAGTATTTACTATGGTGTTAGTATAATTTCTTACTATTGCTACAGTTGATAGAAATTCTTCTGAATGAGAAACTCAAGTTGTTGACAATCTATAAGCCCGGGAAGTATATGAAGTACTTCATCCTAAGATGTAAAACTAGAGTGTTATCATGTACATTCTGGATCCATTCAGGTTTGTGTGATAGAAATAATTTCTTACCTCTCTAGTAGTTATTAAATATGACATTTTAAAATTTAAATGATCACCTTACAATTATCTTGTTACATTTAATGTTCAAATGAGGATGTAATTCATGAATGAATCAATGTGCCATGTCACTTCTGAATGTTAAAAATATATATATTGGCATTAGTGCATTATTATGTCATCTATCTTTTTTAAATAAATGTGAACAGCAGACTAGACCATCTTCTAGATTTGTTAAAAGTCATTATTTAAAATATTTAGATTTGTTTTCATTTTTCAACTGCGTATTTGACTTTGAGAGATAGGTATAGACTCAGCATCTAAGCTCTTAAGGAAATCATACAAATCATGTGGTGTAATTTCTTACTTTACAGGTGAAGATAATATGGCTCATAGTGACAGAGCTATACCATTAGTAAAAATACCCGATATCTATTAGTATTTACTTTCAGCTAAGGCCTTTCTAAATGCTTGCTATGTGTTATATGACCCAATCCTCTTAATGAGCTATAAAATAAGTATTATATTCTCTCTCTTCTATAGCTGAGGAAGTAGTTAAAATCATTTTGCCAAGTCAAACAGCTTATCAGTGGTAGATAGAAATTGAGACACCAAACGCTTCATCACTATGGTCTTCTGATTTCTTGTATCTTCCTCTTTACCTCTAGAAAGTGACAGAGTCAGATCTAGGCCAGGCTTTCTACAGACCTAATTCAGGTGCTTCATCCACCAAGGTCACTTGTTTAGTGACATAATAATTATTCTCTATGATATTGTCTCTTTATGGTACTACCAAGGTAAAAATTGATATTCCAATAATCCTGTACGTGTTTTCCACTTTCTGTGTTTACACTTTCTGTCAGTAATTTTACATTAATTTCCTTTAAAAGTGGAAAAGCAATTCCGGGCCCACTGCCTACAAGATAGACATGTTGCTAAGTACCATGTCCACTGTTGAATGGAGACCTCATACACTTATATGTTTTGTTGGAAATAATATCCATGTCTTCTCCTGATAATTAGTTTTTAATCTTTTAACCACAGGAAAAAAATGTTGGCACATTTAAAACTGTAATCTCAGTATGAAAACAATTCCTCTTAGGTGGATGCAGATAAATTTTTCAGGAACACACTATTTAGAACAAAAAAGTCTGATCGATTCATATGCTCTAAGACACAGATGTTTGTCCTGCTACTAAAGTGGCAGTGTTTTTTCAGATGTAGTCCACATTTTCTGCTTCTGAAACATGGATCACTTGTTAAAATGCATAGCCCTGGGTCTGATTCCAAACCCTTTTTTACCAGAATTTCTGTTGGTAGAGTCGAGTCCAGAAACTTGCATTTCAATAAGCATCTCTGAAAACCACTGCACTCTATGAACAACATAGGGATTCACTTTTGTAGAAGAAAAGCAACATTCAATTTAAAAATATTTAAATTTGTCTTTAATATTTGAAAGATTTCTATTTATAGGGGCCTTTTAAGTTGATGATTATAAAATAAATTCAAAGATCATCAGGTGAAAAGGTATGTACTTTATTATGAAATAGGACTCTCTATGCCATGTGACTGAAATAATCTGTTCAATGTAATGCTAATTATGTTAGTTTAGAGAACATCTAAGATCTGACACATTCATTAGGGCTTAGTATTCAAGCTATTAATCACCATGGTGGGGTCACTGGGTAAGACAGAGGGTGTTCAGAGGCCTGGCCTGTGATGTCAGGGCTGGAGTCTCTTGTAGTAATTAGTTGGCATCTGGGCCTTGGTAACAAGGTATTATTATCTTCCCGTCTGATGTCCGAATTAAAAATGAAACTAATAAAAGGTATGCAGGAAGGATAGAAAAAATGCAAATTATGTTTATCCCTTACTTCATTCTTAGAATAATGGCATTAAATTACACAACCCATCTGGCCATCCATATGGTCTCCTGGTGCTCTAACGGGTTTCAGCAAAGAGGTCAAGCAGAGTGATCACCCCATTGATAAAGCACTAAGTAGAAGTAAAAAACATATTACAATTTAAACTTTCCATTGTTTAGATGGATATAGAGATTTATTTTGTAAACAGTGATTACATAGGATTACCTTTTAGTACAATGTTTATCTTTGTTACTCTAACAAAAAATAATGTGAACATGGTTAGCTAAATAATTACCGAACACAGATTTGGGACCACCAATCTCTGTGAGTGCCTCATGTTATTCTTCTGGTAATATCTGTTATGTCTTGGAAGAATCAACCATTATAGAAAGGAGAATTGTCTTTGTCTCCATAGTAACTTTTCTATTTTCTGTGAGCAGTGACTGCCAATTGTGCTAAAGTAATGATGATGGTTTTGTGACGGGACTACACTATGAAGGGACCAAGCATTAGACCACTGGGTTTATATTACTGGGGGTCAAGAAGCAAAATGTTTTAGGCATAGGAGGATGGTGGCCATAATATACAAGGTGTATTTTTCTATTGTTTTTAAGTGTAAATAAGCACATTGTATTATTTTGCTTTGTGCTCTAAATATTTTGCAGAATAAAGGAAACTATTAAGTCATATAAGGCTGTATCTTAGCAGCAATAATAAAAATAAGCCTATTCCTATGTTTGAAATAGGTAGGGCTTTCATCTTAGCTTTACATAAACCAGAAAGTACCAGTAACTTGAAACTACTTGGACAGTCCTGAGCAAGCAGGTTGGGTACCCCCTTAAACCTATGCCATGGTAGATCATTTTTCCATCCATGAACATAGATATTGCTAAAGTTTTCCTAGGAAATACAGTACGGTATGGGGGAAACCATTATGCTCACTATCTAGCCATGAGCTTCTATGTATTTCCCAGCTTCTTTACACTTAGGTTGTGTGTGACCAAGTGACAAGTTCTGACCTATGAAATGTGAGTGCAAGGATGTATGTCATCACTGGACACCTGGATAAGGCAATTCTAGCTGGTGCTCATCTTCCTTTTCCCTCTTCCCTACTGCAGCAACCTTATTCCACAGGACGTGGCTACAAAGGGAAGATCTTTGGCTCACCTTGCAGGAAGGCTTAGATTGTTGTTTAAGTATAATAATAATTATGTAAATTATAAGTGGGGACTAGAACAGACTACGGGATGTCATTTAGTGTATATACTATGTCATAAGAAGTTTGGCGATATGTTTGTTACTTCTTCTGATCTCTGTTAGAGAAGAGGAAGGCTTCAGTATCTCAAATATAAAAAGAGGTATAAGTGGAAATCATCACTGCCAGTTTTCATTGGAATAAAAGTAAGAGGCACAGATGTAGGGATCAAATCATGCCCATTCAGCTTTCTATGATTAGAGGTCCCTTTGTCCCTCTCAAGACAGGGGTGGAAGGAGGCAGAGATCAAGGACAGATCACAAATATGCTTAGACCTGTGAAAGTTTTCCAGGAGATACTTTCCCTATGAAGGGCTGATAATCTAGTCCAAATAATATTGGATTATAATTAAATGTTATTTTCAGCAGACAAAAATTTAAGAAATTTTATTGAATCCTTTTTTTTTTTTTCTATATGTGTGCTTTAGATAGTGAACATTTCACTTACTGACTTATACAAAGAACCTAGTTATTAATATATGGCCTGGCAAGAATATCTCTTCTGGTTTTTGTCTTAAAATTTCTCTAAAACATATTATTATATTATTACATATTTTATGCAGATGTATTTTTGTTGCAAATGACAGAAACCTGATTCAAAGCCTTTTAGGTCTAAACAGAAATGTTCCCGTTTTTATGCAGATGTTTTATGCAGATGTATTTTTGTTGCAGAATGACAGAAACCTGATTCAAAGCCTTTTAGGTCTAAACAGAAATGTTCCCGCATTTGAATCAGAGGAGCAGCACAAGTACCAGTGCCTTCCAGGTCAACCAGTACCAGTGATTTCTGTTTGCCTATCACATTGCTCTCTCTCCTCTCTGCTCTGCTTTTTCCAGTGGGGTAGCTTTATTTATTTTGATATCCTCTCCCTGATACAGGGAAGATGATTACCAGCATCTCAATCTCATGTTTCACTTCCAGATTTGACATGAGAGAGACTGGCCCTCAGGTGGGAACGTGCATGTCAGGTGGTTCCAGTTTTCCCCCACTATGCACATCTCCATGTATGACTGAAAAAGCACTGCGAGTTTTGATTTGGAGGTTATGAATAAATTTCAGTGAATAAGCAAGTTAGATAATATGGAATTCAAGGTAATGAGGATCAATCATACCTGTAGACTTTTTCTCTGATAGAATTAGTTTCCTGTGCTGTGTAAAAAGATTTGGGGTTACCCAATATTTGTATTATAGTTGTTTTATTTGTTGTTTCTGGGACTGGGACAAGTCTGTACAACCACAAAGCTAATTTACATTAGCATTTATGTAGATAGACTTTGATTATCACCCTGGATTTTACTGGTTCTTACTAAAAGAATACAACTTTCTCTCGCTATTTAAGTAATAATAGATACATTTAGTCACTAGTCACTTGGACAGCATTAAGTGTAAAGC